CCCAAACTGAAAGCCCAGGCAACGCTTCATGGAGGGGCTGGAAACCCTAAACCCTAAACCCTAAACCCTGAACCCTGAACCCTGAACCCTAAACCCTAAACCCTAAACCCTAAACCCAAACTGAAAGCCCAGGCAACGCTTCATGGAGGGGCTGGAAACCCTAAACCCTAAACCCTAAACCCTGAACCCTGAACCCTAAACCCTAAACTCTAAACCCAAACTGAAAGCCCAGGCAACGCTTCATGGAGGGGCTGGAAGCGAACCATGGTCCGACGAAGCAGAGAGATCTTCACTACATCCTCAGTCTGCCCACCAGCTTCATTCGCGGGTTTTTCAGCCCTTTGTAGGGGGTTATAGGGGTTTAGGGTTTAGGGTTTAGGGGGGGTTATAGGGTCATGTGCGAGATGAGGGTTTAGGGTTTAGGGCTTATAGACCAGCCCTTTTTGGGGGGGTTACAGGGTCATGCGGGAGATGAGGGTTTAGGGTTTAGGGCTTATAGACCATAGGCCCTATGGCGTTGGGCTTGTAGGTTTTAGGGTCAAATGGGAGTTGTGGAAGAGAGGCAGCCGCAAAATAGACACCCCACAGACAGGACAGGACTCCCCAAAGCGGACTCCTCCTACCAATGTAGGGAAGGGGCTTGGGGTAATTGTGTAGACCAAGTCCATGGTACTTCAACACCATCCCGCACAGGCCTGATAAGTGCAAAAGTGTTTCACCATAAACCCCCAAAGCTCGTTTCTGTGTGGTCCGAGGCGACGGATGCTGTCAGCAAAGTTTTCGGACAGGGAGGAGCGGGAGAAGCATCAGAAGAAGTTCGAGCACTTGCAGCTTTGCCAGATCCAGGAAGGTTTCGGGAAGTTGAGGGTTCAGCAGTTATGGGGGCTTATCCAGGGCCAAAGATGGGGCATATTCAGATCTCAGGGGTGTAGGGAAGCAGGGTCAGAGCTCAGGGAGCAGAAGCGCGGCGCTGTGAGGATGCAGCCACGGAAAGCCTCAGTAGGCACAACATCAAAAGCCACTGCTCATTTTAGAAAGACCGGCCGGCAGGCGGCGATGCCCTAAATCAGTACCATCATCCCCCAAGTATGTAGAATTACTGATAACCTTTCGTTTTAGTTTCTTTGGGATCCTAAACCCTAAGCCCTAAACCTCTTTGGGATCCTAAACCCTAAACCCTAAACCTCTTTGGGATCCTAAACCCTAAACCCTGAGCCTCTTTGGGATCATTCACAGCTTCTTTGCTCCGAGCACTGCTCCGGGAATCTTCGCTCAGGGTCGAGTCGAGGAGCCCTGCAGGTCCCAGACCTTCCAAATATCCCTTAATTAAGGATTAACGGTTTAGGGTTTGGGGTTCAGGGTTTAGGGTTTAGGGTTTAGGGTTTGGGGTTTAGGGTTTAGGGTTTAAGGAGTATCGACCAAATCATCTGGGATCCTACCTTAACTATAAGCGTCCTGAATTCAGGGACATTGGAAGGTGTGGAGTCGCAACTTGTATGACAACACGTGAAGTTCTCTTCGAAGTGATTTAGGGGCTTGACGTGCTAATTGGCTATAGGTGTCTTAGGTGCCCTTAATACCGCTCGACTAGAAAACACCCCAAAGCCCGCTTCTAATTATCAAGGGCCGCCATATGGCCAGACTCTGCTATTACTTTGAATCCCACACCCTTCAACCCCAGACCCTCAACCCAGGTGCTTGATACACTTCGGGGAGCATGACATTCCCCAGAGCCTTCGCGATCTTCGAAGATGAGGCGCTGCTGTGACCCCTCAGCAAAACTCGACACCGCCACGTTGCTGTTGGTCACGGCATGTTTAGAGTTTAGCGTGCAACATAATACAATGTTGGGCAGCTATTGCTCCCACGCTCTGTTTGAAGAGGAGCTTGCAATGCCTATCTCGGCTTTGCTAGTGTGCAGGGAGGTAGCAGATCCCTGGTCAGGAGGATCGTCTTTTGCTCAGACATAATATGCAAGCTTAACCCTCCATTAAGCCCCGACGCAGCCAGCGCAATTAGAACCCGAAGCACAGACCCATCATTGTTCCGGATGCCCCACAGCATGCAGGTGCTGTCGGTTGTTGAGCTTGCCTTAGCACCACTGCATCCAGATTACAACGCCATCCAGGACTCGCGAGGGAGATGAACAGCAGCCCCTTATTCTTGCAGTTGCATCGAACCACGGTGAAGCGTAATATTGAAGCCTGCATATATCAATGCCTTGCCTTAGGGCCCAGAGTTATGGTGCGATATTCCCCAACAGTCGACGGAAACTATGATGGCCGCCGCGTTACTGTTTTTTCAGACTTGCCGGGCTGAGAGAGGCTAGACTAGCGCTTCTCGCCGTCTCACGCGCGGCAGCGCGGCAGGACAGGCATGCGGTGGAGCACTGCGACGAGACAGCCTATGTCTTATCCCTGGGTGTCCACGATGACTGACGAGGTGACAGGGGTGCTCGCTTGCACGATGTTCGCTGGATGTGCGCCATAGACCATGGCAGTCTCTCAGACAGAGGCGGCTCGGCGATCCGCCTGGCTCCGTCCACTGACATATGCTGTGCTGGCCTCTGGCTGTGGCGACTAAGACCTGTTTTATGCTTTTCCATCAGTACCATTTCCTGCTTGATTTCTGCTTGCAGCAGCAATGCGCGGACGGAGCCACTCAGCTTCTTTACACGGTCTCCCGATGGCCGTTAGCCGCAGCGTGCACAGATGCGAAAGTTGCGTCTGGCTGCACCAGTGCTGCCACTACTATGCAGAAGGAGCAGGCAAAAACAAACCCCGCTACACCTGCCACGAGTTTAGGCTTCAAGCTTCCGGAACGGAATGTGCTGCTTCGACCTCAGCACGTTGCCTACACCTTGGATGCCCTGAACCTAAACTATGAAGCCCTAAACCCTAAACCCTAAACCCTAAACCCTAAACCCCAAACCTGAAAACCCTAAACCCTAAACCCTAAACCCTAAACCCTAAGCTTTCTCTCTCCGGAGGGGCCCTTAAGGCGAAACCCTAAATCCTCACCCCTCCGACTTCGAAGACCGCAGTTCCGATTGAAATGGCCCCAGAATTCAAGGGCTCCCAATCTTGTTTAGGGTTTAGGGTTTAGGGTTTAGGGTTTGCTAATCTTCGCCGGAAATGCAAGAGTTTAGGGTTTCTTGACTTAGGCTTGGGGTTACTAAGGCTAAGGGCTACTGTACTTCAAGTTACTTTGGGCTACTTAGGCTTCAAGGGTTAGGGTGTAGGGTATAGATTCTTGCCGCAACTTCACCCTTGTCCGGACTGAGAGGGATAAAGGTGGTCTGCCTTATTGTTGCATGCACGTGGGTGGTTGTCAAAATTATGGTCCCTTTTTGGGTCCTTATTATAATACGGCACCTGTTATTTAGGGTACCCCAAAAGGGACCATAATCTTGACAACTACCCATGTCTTGCTTGGTCGAAAAGCCCGGAGCACAGGACCCTGACACGGCACCCCACTGTGCTGCGAATGTAGTTGCTCGATACCCACGACCCAGTATCTATCGTACGACATGTTATGCCGATGCCAGAAACCCGCCATGTCCATGCAGAACTGTTGAAGTATGAAGAAAGCAACACTAGAAGTCGTAAGAACTCTGGGTAAGGCCTGCTTACATTGCTGAGCTGAGCCAGCTGACGGATAGCGTGGCCCCTTTTCCGAGAGAGGCACTGGGGCCGGACGATGCTAAAACAGGATTGCTATTATGTAAGGGTTCTTCTTCGTGCAGACTTAGTACGGTATTCTTGGTGGGAACTTTCATTCGACAATATCCAACCAGTTTGTCACAATTTGCCCACGGGTTGTAGCCTAGGCCCTCAGGCGTTCAGGGTCTTGAGGCCCGACACCTTAAGCCACTGCCCGGCCTGAGCCCCAAAATAATATACTATAATTATAATAAGGAACCCCAAAATAGTATAGGTAATTATAGAGGCCCCTACGGTACGTCGATCCTGAACCCTGAGCCGTTGCGTCTTTAGCCGTAAGGGCTTTCAGTACCATACTATCTTGGAATCAGCTGAAGCTGCATCGGCACAGAAAGTCCATTACAGCGTCGAGTAGTTAGGGCACATTGGTTGAGGTTTGTGTCAGGGTCCGGATGGCTTGCGCAACCTCAATTGGGAGTGTGGCTAGTTCATCTTATGTGTGCAGCCAGCTCCTCGTCATCAGCATTGACTGCAGTTTGTCGAAACCCTACCCTGAACAGTATAAACTGCTACTTGCAGTTGCTACCATGCTTACACACTTGAAATGAAAGCTTAGGAACCCTCGAAATTACAAGCCGCGAGCCCAGGATGGAACTAAACCCACAACTAAAGCCAACACCCTTTTTTAGAGAAGCCTGAGTGATTGCAACTCTTCTTCCTAAAACTTCTTCGTTATAGTCACAGTGTAATATATCCCAAACCCCTATTCTCGCTATTAAGGCCCCTATATTCGCTCAAAGCCGTTAGGCCTAAAGCCTAATAGTACTCAACGACGAGGCCGCCGACAGAACCTTGCGAAAGGTGGGCTGCTCTGTGTGGGATTCATAAATCCCTGATAGAGCCATGTGGTGCCCTATACCCTAAACCCAAAAGCTTAAACCCTTAAGCCCCAAACCTTAAGGCCTAAACCCTCTGTAAGCATTCATGAGCAAAGTATCGGTTCTCTGAGCTCATGCTAGAGGAGTCGGGTTGTGAGTCCAGGGTTTAGAGTAGGAGAGTGTGGACATCAGAATAGGTTAGGGCGTAGTGCTCATAATAGAACTTTAGGTTTTGGGTTTTGGGGAGCGCATATTTCTATTTCCGTTTATAGTTCTTCGGATCTCTGGCATCTAACCTACGCAGCATATTTACATCTCCTGCCCGTTTAACTGTAGCACTCTTTCCCCTACTTATACCACAAAACCGGTGACAACCATGCTGTAATCATAAAGGAGCTTATACTAAATAGCTTCATCCTTCTGGTTTGCTGAGAGCGGTGTTCTCAATGAAGAAGGTTCTCGCAGATGCCATAATGGGGCACAAATCCATTGTAAGCCTATCTTTAATACAACCGGCTCAGTGTCACATAATTAGGTGCCGATTTGGATTTGCAGTCTCAGCCTTTTCTGACATGACAGCCCAACAACCTTGTGCAAGACCGCATTTGTTGCAGGAAGAGTCAACATACGTAGGCTTTGAGGTTCCTCCTCGGAGGCTCGGATAGGCTTTTGGAGCCTTCGGGATGAAGGCCTCGTAACTTTTTGATGCATGCCTGAGTTATGCAGGAGTGGCAGAGCACCCGGAGCCAACGAAGCGCACTGGCGGCTGTCCAAGCGGTGGCACTCTTACATCTTCTTGTCTTGTTCGTGCGCCTTGTCGTTTGGGGCAGCGAGGAGCTAGCATACGACATTTGTGTGCAAAAGGGAGCTGAAAACTGCAAGCTTCATGCCGCCACATATAAAACTGCTAGCTTCAAGCCGCATGGCGGTAGTGAGTGATTCTCGCAACCCATGCTACAGCTACATAACCTAAACGCGAAATAGCGCCCGAAACCAAATCCTAAGGCCAAAAGCCACAATCCTACGCCCGATATCCGCCACCCCATAACTCCTTGAGTATCCCTGCACAAAAGCTTATAGCAGGAAGATGCCATAGTCCTAAACCCCTATTTCACATTGAACCCCGAACCTTGAAACGGAGGCCTTGAAGCCTTAGCAAGAATGAGAGAACAAATCCTCTGAATCCTTGTTGAGCCCTCTTGCAGAACCAGAACCGTGATATATGTAAGGCACCCTTCTGGCAGCTTGAATCCTTTGCAAACATTCTACAGCCTTATATATACGCAGCAGCCAAATCTCATTCCCTTTGGGCTCAGTCGTTAGGGCTACGGTGTTTAAACTAGCATGTATGTTGGTTCGCTGTCATCATTTTGGAAACCTTGCAGAGCCGTGCCAGAACCCTCATAGAACCCTTACAGTCTCTCTTGGATTTTGTGCAAAGTTTTTTTGCATTGTGCTCGCGAAGTGGGTTATCCAAACTGCGCGCATCAGCCGATCAGCCGATCAGCCGATCGGCTGATCGGCTGGTCGGCTGGTCGGGTTGGGGGTTTAGGGGTTTAGGGCTTCGGGTGTGTATACACGTGCTCCCTTTACTTTAGGAATAGGGGCGCACCCACGTATCGCCCGATTGCGTCAGCATGTAGTCCCGCCCCAATCACCCCAGCTATTCTCAATTAGGGTTTAGGGTTCATCCCCAAACCCCCCTCAAGGGGACCCCCCACATTTCGCAGCAAACCGCTCGCTCACTATCTCAGGGCCAACAGTTCTCAGCATAAAGACTTCTGGAAGCAGGAGCCAGTGTTTTGTGAACGAGTGCGATTTGGCGTTAGAATCAGCGAGCAACGAATGGTTCAGATTCGTTCAGAGGGATGATCGGCATTGTTGCCGACACTCCCAGTCTTCACTCAATGACCGGATGGCATGCTGTTCGAGTGCTGCAGCATTCTCCGTGCGTGCGACAGCAGTGCCTAGACCTGAACTAAACTTCTACGCGGTTACGCGCTTGGTGTGGGGAGTGTCGTCCTTGGTTTCGGCAGCTCGGGATGCATGTCGGGAACCTTCCCCTACCAGCAGTAGTGTTGCAACGGTGTCACGACCATGGACTGTTGTGGTCCAGGCCCACCCCCAAACCATGGCGAATTTTGGGAGTCGTGGGTGGATCCCTCTCTATAACCTTAATTTTGTCGGCTACTCGCAGTAGCATGCTGAGAGGCAACCTTCTGGTTCTTCACATCTTAAGTGTAAACCACAAGCTGCTCAAACCCATGTTTGTTCCGTACGTGGATCTGCGAACCCATCTCCACCCGACCTGACAGCTCGGACCCCGAAGACAGTGGCATTCTGTGGGTGACACCACCATCACAGGCCTGTCATTATTTTGCCTTGGTCTCCTGCAAAAGGCCAAGGGCTGGAGGCACATCTTGGAACAGTCCCATTGCAGCCTGGATCACTCGAGCATTGTAGTTACCTGAATCTCAGCCATCTGCTTGGGCCTTCGACGATGTCGATGGCCCGAAATCGAAGATGCGGCTGCTGCAGGAGTGTAGAGCTGGTGATTTCAGGACATGGCAGGGCTGCTCCAGTCCTGTGGTGGCGGTCGACTTGGACAGGACTCCTGGTACCTGCAGTAGCCGCAGTAGCTCTAGCCAACTCGAGCCTCAGCGGAATGTGGGTGCCATCAACTGCAGCTGTGTGCCAACGGTGCGCCGCAGATCCTCAGTCGTCTCCGTCGAGGTGCTGCTGCAGACAACATCCGGGCAGGACACCAACTTGTTCGATAAGGGCAACAGGAGGCACTCTCGTGAAGCCAAACTCCGCAAGAAAGAAGCCGAAGACCACACTACTTGAAAAAAACGTTACGAAACCTATGCGAAGCGCAAGCTTAGGATATCGCTTCGAACGCAGAGTGGCAATCGTACCGTGGAGCTAACCAGTTTAGCACCAATGTCCTGCACTTTATCCGTGGCATTGGCCAACTTTTCACTCCAATACCGGACATCTTTAAGGCTGCTTTGGTGCTCCTCGCAGCGTTGTTCAATCTCGGCTCTTATGCTTCTACTTCTCCGATTGTTCGGGATATCATGGCTGCGCTCTTTCTCTCGAAGCGGTCTGCGCACCGTGTATCGAACATGAGCGATTATTTTTGCTTGTCTTCTGGTTTCTTTGCTTGAACTTTGCCTTGAGGCATGTTGGGTCCTCATTATAGCGGGCTGACGCCGGTATTGCGTGAGGCGTAGCCGAGTCATTTCCGCCCCCATCTACCGGGAGGCTTTGCCCTCCCTCACCGTCCCGTCGAGACGCTCGGCCGTGGGCCGCGGTCGGAGCCTCGAGCGCCCATGCAAATGGTCAGCGGCACTCTCGGCAGTTTAGGGTTTGGTGTTTCTGTTTTAGGGTTTCGGGTTTAGGGTTGATTGGCTGATCGGCTGATGCACGGTTTTGGGCCCACAAGCCACGCACACTGCTTTTTGTACAAATCCCGAATCCACCGTGACAAAGCCCTCGAGTCCGAAGCAAGGCCGGGCTACCGGAGAACCCCCGGGCTGCTGCATCCTTGGGCCAGGTGAGGCCCTTTGTGCTCGGGTTTAGGGTTTAATTTAGGGTTCAGGATTGGTGTGTGTGTGTGTGAATGGTGTTGGTTCTGTTTTTGGATGGCAGGCGGATGGGGGGGGGAGGGGTGGTGGAGGATTTGGGGGCCGCGGCGTGATGTGGGTGTTTTGCTTCAGGCTTTCTTGGATTGTGACGTTTGGGGTGTCTTGCTTGAGGTGTATGTTTTGGGAGCTTATGGGAATTATTTGATTTAGTGCTTTGGGGTAAGGTTGTGGGTTGAAATCATTAGGTTGCCGAGCAAATTGGGTTTCAGGGTGGCAGAATCAGGTTCAGGAATTAGGTTTTGGTGTTTTGAAGTTTTTAGCCGTCTGGGCATGTGGAGCCCAAGATCTGGATGAGAGGGGTTTTGCGAAGAAATCAGCTTTTGGTTGGATGAGTCTTCAGGGTCGGTAGTGTAGGGATTATCAGATTTCCGGAATTCACCCACTCGGCAGTTTAGGGAGACGACGTTGGCCATAGATATTGAAGCCACACGTGTAGTGCTTGCAACCTAAAGCCCTAGCACCGTCCGTCCTGCACCTTGAAGCTCTTAACCCAGACCCTAAATTCTAAATCCACAATGCACAGCCCCAGGTTTACTGTCTCAACATCCCGGGCCACGGGCCTGTTGCCGTTAAGATTCAGAGGCTTGTTGCGCTGCAATTCTCCGAGTTTCCGCCAGTCCATCGGATGTTTGGTTGAAGGAGGCTTTGTCAGCAAGGCTGTTTCTGTCATGACTTCTTACGATGACGATGGTTATGCAGAAGATGGCTATGGGTTATGTTAGTGTCGTATTCTGAGTCCCGAGATTCAGGGCCTCCGCCCTTGGGAGAAGGTGTGCAGACCCGCGTCAAGAACTGTCACTTGCAGCAGAGTATAGTTTTACGGTGCCAAAGTTGAGGAAGGAGCCTGGGATTTAGGGTTATGAGGGTCCAGGACCTAGCATACAGTATATGTTATTTAGTTTTTGGTATATTGTAGCTCAATTACAGTATACAGTATATAGTATAAGGTGAAATGTCGTGGCCCAGTTCTTTTTACTCCCTGGTGACCGGGTGCGGACAATATGCTGGTAACTTCGCAATCATAAGCTCCTGAATCCTATCCTACACCCGAGGCCCAAGGACAAGACATGTCTACCCTTTTGGGCTGTACTTCGGGTTGATAGCACGGGTGCGGGTCCTTCAACGCCTGAGGGCTTAGGGTGCAGCAGCTGCAGTAGGAGATGGTTTCTGACTGTTTGCATGGCTTTCCGGCTAACCAGCACGGCACCGCGAGATACTGCGAGCCCCTCTAATCTGCAAGCTCCCTTCACCCCTTTCCCTAAAACCCGTAACTTCAAACTCTCCAGCTGCGCAAGAACGAAATCTTGAACCCTAAACCCTAAACCGTAAACCTAGACCCCGAGCCCATCCAAGCGCGAATGTCCTGCCGTGTGGGCTCGAAGCACACTTTGCCAAAGGCAGAGCCAGGCCGCAGGAAAAGCCGAGTTGTCCAAGACAACTCGGCAAGTGCGGCTATTTAGCGTTTAGTGAGTGCATAAGACATAAGATCTTGTCAACTTAGAGCCGTTGGAGTTCATGACATCATAATAGGTCGTCATGAAGCTTATACAATTTTGTAAAAACTTCCATGTAAAGTATTATGGAACGAGGATGTGGCATGTGACGTCGAAGGACCCCGGCGCAACAAAGGCAAGTTATGAAAATCCGAGGTTTAGCAGCACAACTTAAATTGCGTCGTGCTGCAATAGTGCTCTGCCTCAGCAGACTATATATGTGATACAGCTAAGTAATCTGAGGCTATCTTTAAGTCTTTAGTTGAGTAGCATTAGACAGTGCTCCGGATTCCCGGTGCCTCATGGCGTCATAGGATGCATCTTCCGAATGGAGCCCCAACGTCGGCTCGGCCCGTGACAGGCCTCGTGTCGCAGACAGGGCGGCAGTTGATGCGCAAAGGGAGCTTCTCTGGACTCGGGGACCCGATCGGCATACCCCCAGTCACTCTGAAGCCCTCCCTTGGCACTCCGGGGCCGGGACTCCAGAAGAGCGCCTCGGATTCTGTGATTCTGCCGCCCTTGAAAGCCGGCACGGGGCGACCCTCGACTGTGGCCCGGCGCGAGAACCGCAGGAGGCAGATGCTGGCGGAGCAGATGATGGAAAGGCCAGAGTGGTGGGATGTAGGAGGTTCAACGTCAAAGGCTCAGGGTTTACAAGTATAGAGGGTTCAGGGTCACTTAAGTGTCAAGGGTTTAGGGCTACACGTAGCTTAGGGTTGAGGTCAGAGTGTGGCAAGGACGGAGAGATCCGAGAACGTCGCAGAGACGGGCTTGGTGACAGATAGACTCGACAGCTTCGAGGTCTTGCCTCTCGGTGGGGTATGTTTAGGATTTAGGGTTCAGTCTTTGTCGGGCTTATTTTGGGGTTCAGGCTTTAGGCGTTAAGTTACGGTTTAGAGTCTTGGGGGTGTAGGGTTTAGGGCACATAGGGAGATAAGTGTTACACTACCTTACGGTCGCACAGAGGAACCTACGGCACACTGCCTTGAATTTGCTGAAGCTGAAGCGTAACCTTGCACCCTAAACCCCCTTACAGGAGCCCTCACCCATTAAAGCCTTAAATCTTAAAGGAACCCTAGACCCTCGTAGATCCCCTTCATGGGTTCCGTAGAGCCTTAAAGGAGCCCTCAGTAACCCAGGTCTGAAGCTTTCGGACACGATGTCCGAGGCGTTACCGATCGCCTAGAGGACATGGCACGCAGCATCCGCTTCGAGAACTGGCGGTCCAAGACCGAGGCGCTGGGTACAGGTTTTGGGTTTTTCGGTTGTCGAGGATACGGGGCTTTTAGGATTTAGAGCTTAGAAGTTTTAGGGCTTGCGGCTTCTAGGGTCTATAGGGCTTCAGGGTTTGGGGTACCTATGTTTGTTAGCCTTCTCCTTTGTTAATACATCCAGACGTTACTCCGCAAGCCTGAAGTACTATAGCGGCCTAAATAATTATCTATACTATTTTGGGGGTTCCTTATTTAGTTGTACGGTCAAGGACCCCTAAACCCTATTCTAATCCCCTGAACTCCTGAACCCTGAATCCTTATAGTCGCCCTTATAGTATCCCTTTTAAGGAAGCCTTTAAAGGGAACCCTATTTTTGTGGGCCCCTACACCCTAAACCCCTTTTAGTATATATCCCTTTTAAGGAACCCTTTAAGGGGAACCCTATAAGGCCCCTACATCAAACCCTGAACCCTAAACCCTTTAAAGGACCCCTAAACCCTAAACCCTAAACCCTTTAAAGGACTCCAAAACCCTGTTCTAATTGTTCAGGACCCTATAAAAAAGCAAAAAGGACTCCAAAACCCTGTTCTAATTTTTCAGGACCCTATAAAAAAAACAAAAAGGACTCCAAAACCCTGTTCTAATTGTTCAGGCCCCTATAAAAAAGCAAGGAAAGCATTAAGCTCCCGAGGAGAGGGAGCGAAAGCGTCGCGAGGAGGAGAAGCGCCTCCAGGAGGAAGAGAAGCGCAAGGCAAGCGCTAAGAAGGTAGGTTTAGGGTTTAGGGTATATAGGGTTTAGGGGTTCGGGTTCAGGGGGGTTTAGGGATTAGGGTTTTGGGTTTAGGGATTTAGGGATTAGGGTTTAGGGGTCTTCGGGTCTAGCTTTTGAAAGAGTCTTAGGGAAGGCATGGTCGACCAGAGCCCTAAATAGCATGCACCTGTAGGGCGCCTTAGGTTCATGATGCCAGAAAAGGTGGTTGTTGGGTTTCAGGTGCTTCAATGGCCAGGGTCTTAGGTTTTAGAAGGTTTGGGGTTTAGTGCTTGAAGCTTTCAGGGTTTAGAGGGTAATGGATGTTTCAGGGCCTTAAGGTTTGAGATAAGAAGGTAGGTTCGAGGCTCGGTTTCATCAGGTTTCCATTTCGTGTCAAGTTTGAAACACAAACTTAACACTGCGAAACTACGGGCTAAATCCCCAAAAAGGTCCGCACTCCTTAGTCCAAACAAAAAGCCGAATCATGCAGGTACAGGGTTGGATTCCGAGTCTGTGGTCTTAATTCTAAGATTTTGTCATGCGTTTTTGCTCAACAGGTTTGTCTGTAAAGCTGCGTGCCGGGCTAACACAATCCCATGGCCCCGTGGGGAAAACTCCGGGCAGTACGCTTTGGTTTCATCCCAAGAAGCCGCCGCTCGAAGAAGATAAGCCCGAAGTAGTTCCCAAACCCTCCGAACCCTGAATCTTAATTAAGTCCTAAAAACCCGAAGCTAAACCGCAAGCAGAAAACAAATGTCAACATACGTAAACACTACATACATACATACATACATACATACATACATACATACATACATACATACATACGTACACACATGCATACATACATGCATACATACATACTCTTGAAGAGGCCCGAAAGCGGGAGCAGGAAGCTGCGGACCCCAAGAAGAAGGCCAAGCCCTCAACAACCCTTTACGTATGACACCCGAACTTTTCAGGGTATCGGGTTTAGGGTGTACCTGGACCCCAAGTAACCTACCTTTTTAGGTTTCCTTATTATAGTTTCTTTAAAAAAATCCCCAAAACAGGCAGGTTCTTTGGGGTTGAGGTAGGGTTTAGGCCATCCACCCCCAGGGCCAGAAAGGCTCCATGAAATGCTTTACATGGGATACATTGAGAGGGTGCTGAGGGGTTTGGAGCTTATGTTGCATTTCCTGTTTCGAGGCTGGGGCTGCAAGAGATGAAGGATGCCGGTTAGGAATTCAGGGTTTAGGGTCAAGTTTAGAGTTTGATATAGGAGCCTTAAGAATCAAAAGTAATAAGGAACCCCAAAACCCTATTCTAAGTATTGAGGCCCCTACATTAGGAGTTTTGGGGCTCAAGGTTTAGGGGGTCCAGGGCTTAGTGAGAACTTGGGCCGACTTGGGCTTCGCCTGTGAAGTCAGTCATGCCACTCCAACAGTTTTCCAATAGTATGGGGCCTTCAATAACTAGAATAGGGTTTTGGGCTTCTTTAAAACAATTTCAGTATAGATTGATAATTAGGAGCCCTAAGGAATAGTGTTGGTAATGATGTCGGCCCCTGGCTACACACCGTGATGGCCGAAAGTCTTTTCACGGCTCGAAATCCTGAAGAACCCTCCCGGTTTAGGGTTTAGGGCACCTTGCAAACAAAAGCCATGGGCCCTTGTTTAGTGCGATTGGGGTGGGGTCTTTTGTAGCTTTGCATGGTCGAGGGTCTTCTATGGCTGTTACAGAAATTATATATGGCTTGGGGCGAATCTTAAACTCCAGCCGCACACCCCCAAAACCGAAGCCATGAAGCCCTAAAATTAAAACGCCCACACCCTGAAACCTTAAAGCCCCGAAACCTTGAAACTGCCCATGGTTAGGTGGCCCTGCGCATCGAAAATCGGCGGCGCTTCGACGGCGACAACGAAAAGGCGGCAAGCATTCCCATGCATCCCGTGGAGGCCGGGCAAGGGGGAGGGAAAGACGAAAGACTTCAAAAGCGAATATGCATGTTTTGGGGCTCAGGGATTAAGCCTAAAGAGCGAAGATACCCTACAGGCCCTCAAGCCTAAGCAACCCCAGCTGGAAATCCTAAATCCTAAGTCTCCTTGAGCTCCAAGAGCCCGACACTCCTTGAGGAAGCACGAAGACAGGAACCCGAGGGGTCGTGAACCTGAAGCGGTTTAGGGTTTAGGGTTTGGGGTTTAGGGTTTAGGGTTTAGGGTTTAGGGTTTAGGGTTTAGGGTTTAGGGTTTGGGGTTTACTTGAACCCCACATACCCTACCTTTTGGGGCTCCTTGAATCCGATGTCCTTATGTAAGTTCTTCACAGGTATGCTTCTTAGCGGGGTTCCATGATTTCAAGGGTTCGGGGCGCAGTTTTGGGTTTCTGCCCTATGAGAGAAGGGGTTTAGGGTTTAGGGACCATTATTAAGCCCTTAACCCTAAACCCCAAACCAAAAACCCCAACCTAAACCGTGTTAACCCCGATAAGAAAAAATAAAAATGCAGGTCGATGGTCCCCAGGGCCGTGAGACCGTCTCCTTGGTGGATGTGGAAAACCTCCAGAATCGGTGCTTGCAGCTGAAAGGTGCGCGGTTATGGACTTAGGGGGAAGGGGTTTGGGGGTTTTGGGCTCAGGTATTCGGGTTTTGAGTGTTGGTTTTGGGATGTTCGGCTTTAGGGCTTTGGTTTTTAGGGTTCAGTGTTCAGGGATCCTTTCAAAAAGGTGTACGGTTTATTAAGCATTCGGTAACTTTCGTCGATAAACGGTCTAGGGAGTAGACCGTAACTTGAATTTGTATGTCACAGTGGGGCCGGAGATACGGTGGTACTACATCTAAAGGATGTTAAAGGCCATAATCATAAGTCGGATCGCCCCGATGGTTTCTTGTCACGAAGTGTTTCCTGGAACTTCGGATCAGAGATTCGTCTCGGAAACTAGCGTTAGCTGAAATGGAGATGTCTAGGGCATCTTTTGGTAACCTCCTTCTTTTTCTGCACTGCGCAGCCATAGATCCACAGTCCCCTAAACGGGATCGACGCAAGAAGCACTAATTCCAGGGCAAGCTTTGCACCGAAGACAACTCCCTACGCGTCCCACCCCTGTGCCAGCAACCAAGGAAATTGATCTACACATTCTGCCGGAGATTTCTGCAAATTGAAACTTGAACCCGTCTGAACCCTGAATCCTAAAAGAAGTTCCCTAAGGGAAGTCCCTGGTAACAAACTCCGCAAAGACTATGACTATAACCAACATTATAATTATGCTGCTACACTGAACCCATTTGGTTTGTATTGAGGTCCATTGGGTCATATTTAATATTCATGTGACATGCATTTCACCATGACACCCTACAAAAAACCCTATGCGAAACTCTTTTGCCTGAGGGAGTAGTGACCCTAAACCCTAAATCCTAAACCCTAAACCCTAAACCCTAAATCCTAAACCCTAAAACCTAAACCCTAAATCCTAAACCCTAAACCCTAAACCCTAAACCGTGTAAGTTTTTCTGAAGAGAAGAGGCCGTGCTGGCATCGAAGCCTTCATTGACATGGTCCGTGCGCGCGAGCAGAGAGAGGCCTCGAAGAAGGAGCCCGGTTTAGGGTTTAGGGTTTAGGGTTTAGGGTTTCGGGTTTAGGGTTTCGGGTTTCGGGTTTCGGGTTTAGGGTTTAGGGTTTAGGGTTTAGGGTTTAGGGAAGGAATGGGCCCTAAAAGGATTTGGGTAGTTGTCCAAACTATGGTCCCTTTTGGGGTACCCTAAGTAATAGGTGCCGTATTATTATAAGGACCCCAAAAAGGGACCATAATTTTGACAACCACCCATTTAGGGTTCATGAATAATGCCTCCCATGGTAACCCTTAATATCAAATACTATAGAAGCCTCAATAATTGCCATAGACCATATAGGGGTTCATAGTATAACTGTGAAGCAGTTTATGCTATGTTGGAACTGAGCTTGTTTCCCAACGATTGCCTGCCGCTGCTGTTAGGCCTTGAGTCACTGTGTGCGCGTAGAAGAAAAGATCCGTGAACGTGCCATGGATGTCTAGTTTTGACCTTGCTGCAGTCCTGGTGTTTCCGCTTACTTTACAGTGGCAGCGGAGCCCAGTCGCTCCAGCTCCTGCCCTATGAACGGCCCGCCAGGCACCTTTATGCAGGCCTGGCAAGGAAAGGGCTGCGGGTGGGGGACACCTGATCTACCAGCAGGGCCTCTGGCATATGCTACTGGCTTGGCTGGCATGGCGGGTGTGAGAAGAGATAACGTACCTTTGAGCCCAATGACTACCACTGGGTTGCAGCAGCCGCCTCCCTTTTCCCCGCTTTTGAGAACGCCAGCACCATCTGGACCACCCTCTGCAAACGCAGGTGCTTCCGGATCTTCGGCTGGCCCCTGTCAAGGGCCCTCGGTGAGTATCGCTGGTTCCTTGGCGGGAGCGTTGGGAGGGAGCAGAATGAGCCCAGGCGATGCTACATCTAGGCCTGGGGTGCAGAGTGCTTTTGAGCTTTTGGGAAAGCAGGCTCCAGCCGCGAGTGCTGAAGCCCGTATGGAGACCAGTGAGGCCATCATGAAGGCGCTCACCATGGCGGTCTCAGGAGAAAAGAAACCTATGCCGTCGTGGTCTGGAAATGTCTCGACCCTTAGGGCTTGGCTGCGTCAGCTGTCTTTCTGGGAAATAGACAACCATATACCGAAGCAGCGGTGGGGCATAAAACTGTTCCAGGCTTTGAGCGAGGGAAGTGTGCCCCGCAGGATCGCCGAGGGGATTGCCATGGAGGTGATCCTTTCGGAGAGAGGTTACGGGGCCATCTTGTCGGCTGTCCTGGAGAAGTTCAAGCCCTACCTCGACGCGGCGGGCCCAGCTGCCATAGATCTCTTTTTCTATTCCGGGGATCGTCAGCGAAACGAGTCGTTCTCCAACTACATAGCAGCCAAAGAATTGGCCAAGCAAGAGATTGAAAACCTTACGGGCGAGATCCTGCCGCCCAAACTTGCTGGAAGAGTTCTCTTAAAACAAGCCAACTTGTCTGAACAGCAAAGAGAGACGACGGCCATTCGCTACAACGCCTTGCTGTCCTTCGAAGAGGTGGCAGCAGCTCTCCGCCCCCTCGATCGTCCAGATGCTCTTTTGAAACCTATGTCCTCTACCACTATGGCTACGGTTTCCTTAGGAGGAAGTACTTACTGGCAGTCAGAAGAGCCTCCTCAGGAGTCTCCCATGGTTGAAGTGCCGGAGGAGACGCAGGACTATGAGGACTGGCTTCATCCGGGCGATGAGGAGGAAGGTCTCTACGACGAGCACGGGGAGCCCATGCTGTTCTTCGAGGCGGACCGCGAGTACGACGAGGACGAGGCCATGTACATTTGGGCATACAATGACGCCTACCACCAGCTTCTAACTGACTGGAGTGCCGAGCCGAGCCATGCCTTTCCAGCCTATCAAGATGTTCGCCGAGAGCTGCAAGCCAGGAGAAAAGGCAGACAGTTCTACCGGTCTGACTCAAAGGGAAAAGGCAAAGGCAAGGGGAAAGGATCCAGCCCGGCAGGATCCAAATCAAAAGGGAAAGGTCGCGGAGGTCAGCGCCCCCGAAAGGGCTTTTCCAAGGGCTCGGCAGACGACCTGCTGTCCAGAACGAGGTGTTTCTCTTGTGGAGAACTCGGCCACTTCAGCCGGGATTGCCCGAACCCCGCCGCGACTACCTCGGCTTCGACGGCTACACCAGGCAGGACTTCCTTTGTGGTCAGTCAGGGGCCCACAGGTGGCCTCAACAGGGCTTTCATGATGTCGGGCCCCCGTCGTACGGTGGCCATCTACGCCGGGGTGAGGACTGCCGGGGGAGAAGGCCTGGTGGACAGCGCTGCCGAGGACGCGGTGATTGGCAGTGGGGCCTTCCAACGACTGCGGGCTGCTCTGGCCCAACAAGGCCTACAACCTCAGCCAGTGCGAGGCCCCTCTGGATCTTGTGCCGGCATTGGCGGCTCAGCTCGAGTAACCAACATGTGGGATGTGCCGGTCGGGATCGCTAAGAACAACGGTCTCTTGCGCATCACGGAGGTTGAAGACTGTGACGGTTTCGAGACCCCCTTTCTGATCCCAGTGTCCTTTCAGGAGTTGGTCGGCATGGTGATCGACTACGACCGGGCCGAGGTCAGGACTCGTCAAGGGAACTCCACGCCGATGCATCGGCTGCCGTCCGGACATCGTTCAGTTTCCGTTGTGGAGTTCGATGGCAAGTGGTCTTTGCCCAAGGAGCTTATGATGCAAGGCCGAGACCCCTTTCAGCTGCCCAAGCCCTTGAAAGCTCAAGCCAGGAACGCCCCGCTTGGTCAGCAGAAGGGAGTTGCCGTTTGGTTGCGATACTCGGATGGTTCCTTCGAGCAGTGCGCCTGGTTGGATGGCCCTCGAAAAAGTCTCGTCGTTCCGTCCGAGTGCTTGCCCACTGAGTTAGCAGTTCAGCTGGACTCTAGTCGGGTGACTTATCTGGATGCGGCCCCTGATGTGGATCCCTACATTATCAATGATGTTTGGTGCCACTCCCTAGGTCCGCGAGAGCTTGAGTCCCCATGGACAGGTTCAGTGATTTTTCAGCAGGTTAACAACAACCTCGATGCAGCTACTCTGTCTTCTACTGCCTCGTCCACTCCGAATTCTTCGGCCTCTGCTCTCCCTTTGCGCCAGGCATCCACGTTGGCGCCGGGAGCTTTGTCGACACAGGTGCGCCCTGCGGTCTTTGACATGTCTGACGCTGCGGATGTTGTCGCCCCTGTGTCCAGTGCCGAGCATGACTTCGAGGGCGTTTTTCTTTCTCCTTCAGGTTTCGGGGGTGGAAGCAGTACAGTCATGTCGTCACCATGGCAGAGTTTGCGAGTTAAGCGAGATCGCCTGCTCTCTCAGCTGTCCCAACAAGTGCCCCAAAGGACAACTTTCTTCGTGACTTGGGCTCGAGAACGACTCAGGCCCCTCTCCGAGTGTTTCTTCGACCATGCAGCAGCGCATTCGGTCGCTTGTTCACGGAGAAGAAGAGGGAGCTCAGCCAAAAGCCGCAGCGAGGCGTCGCGGGTCAACATGGTGCGAGAGGGCGTGGGCACGGGTGACGATCATCCTGGTCCGCATGATCCACACGGTGCGCCAGCAACTGGTGGTGGACGCTTTGATCTTGGACGCCTACGGACCTTCAGCCACGGCTTCTTCTTCTACGATGGCACCCCAGCCCAAGGCGAAGGAATCCAAGAAGAAGCAGGCCGTGGTGAGACAGGGGTTGGGCGCTCAACTCACCCGAAGCCAAGCTCAGACAAAGTGGACCCTGGAACCAGAACAATGTCGCGAGCAGGACCTCCGGATGAGGGGGAACCAAGCCCGCCACTGGTGGGCGTGCCTCAAGTGTGGCAGCCGCTGGGAGCGCCTGGAAACGGACACGGTGATCAATCCGAGCGGCCCTCCCAAGCCTACACGACCAGTGTTCCGGTCCACGAACCCGCCGAGCATGCTGCCGCCGCCGAAGTCGCACCCGAGCCTGGGAAGCCTGTCGTTGTCTCAAGCTCGAAAGCCCCCGACAAGATCGGCGGTCCCGGAGAACCCGTCGACAACGCGGCCCGAGAAGCCAACGCCACCGATGAAACAGGTCGGTGCCTACAAGGACTTGCTGAAGAATGCCATCGCCCGGGAGTATGTCGAGGACATGTTCCAGGAGGAGCCCCAGTACCAGTTCGAGCCGGAGGATCGAAGCTCGGGAAGCATGTTAGCTTCGGATCAGCACCTGGCCCTGGCAGTGTCAGAGGGAAGGACTCGGACTCTGGACCGAGTCAGTGTGCAGTCGCTGCGGCCGCCAACGGAATGGGCCGACTACGAGAAGACGCAAGGGCCCATGCCAACGGCAAGCCGTCGATCGCGAAGCCTACCAGCGGGAGTTCATCCAGTTCAAGATTTCAGCCGCCGCCGCCAGGTCCAAGTGACTCCTCGCGGCCCGGAAGTGTTCGCGATCCACGAGAACAACAGCGACGAGGACAAGGACAAGGATCTGTCTCCGGGATCCTTCAGCATGGTGAGCCCGGCTCACCACCTCTGAATGAGGCCAGCCACCCGCCGAACCACGTCAACACCACGACGGAGCTACCGCACAGTGGCTCTACTTTCTCCATGCTCACCAGCGCTCCACTTCATGTGCAGCAGAGTTTCGCCAAGCGAGGATATGGGCTAGCCTGTGGCCTCGCTGTTCTTCTTTCAACTTTTGGGACGACGCCACCTTTGGCATCCTCGCCAATTTCGAGTTTGCCCTTTCGCCGGCTGGAGGCTGGCACCGTACAAGGAGGTGGTAGTCAAGAGTCCTACAATTTTGTTCTTTTTCAGATGCCGGACGAGTCCTTTGAGTACGAGGCCTCCGGTTCTTTGGGCAGGCCGTGCACTTTGCCGAAGCCTGCGAGGAATTTTGTCATTGAACAACTGGATTCGCTCGTGGGGCACCCCAAGACTACGGCTAAGAACCAAGCGTCAACATCTTTCTCTACTACAACTGTTCCAAAGCCAGTCTTTAAGAGCCCTACGCCTAGACAGATGACCTCGGAATCCAAACAACTTCATCTACCACAACCTTGGGTCCTAGAGCAAGCAGTTTGTGGTCAGCCTAGACAGATGACATCGGAATCCAGACAACTTCATCTACCACAACCTCGGGTCTGGCGCTTAGGTCGACACCAGGTCGTTTCGACACCCATCGTGCAGGGAGACAACCACTTGGCCGAGTTGGTGGATGGGGATCTAAAACATCAGGGTCCTTTCGGCACTCGTGCTTTGAGCTTCTTGTGCGCTTGGTCGTTCTACTTCGGCACCGAGAAGACTCGCGTACTGAACACAGTGGCCGCAAGTAGACCTGCCTTTATTACGGGCTGGATTGAGAGCGGCAGCCGTGAGTCGTTACTACAAGCTGCCAGGTTCCAAGACAGCCAAGGCGCTCTCTTTGGCCTTCTTTGTGATCGCCGAGCGGCCCCGGGCCTTCTGCGTCAGCTCCCTAGATCCACAGCCGTGATACTCTCGGACAGCAAACACCAGATTGCTCTGATCGTCAATGATAAGACTCTGGTTCGCATCCTGGAGAGTTTGGACTGGGCCAAGCAGCCGTGGCCAGACAGGCGGGACATCGAAAGCCTACAACTTTCAGTGGTGGCCTTTCTTCAGCTACTTTGCCACCCTCACAGCCTGGATGGTTGCCCGCAACCTAACCTTGAGCTGGTCCGCAAGATGGTGACCCAGATCAGAAGCTCGTTCGAAGGCCTGCTCTGTGCCTCGCGCAACTTTCTGGCCTCTCAGCCGGTGCCTGCGTCCGGTTCCTCTTCTTCTTTTGGGGAGGAGAGTGGGTTCGTCGAGCCAACGAGGCCACCGAGATCCCGAACTTTTACTTCGGCGTCGACATCATCGCCTACAAGCACGATGTGGCCTAGGTCTCGGTTGCGGAACCGGCCGAGCAGATCCTTTCCTACGTCAAGGACAGAGGATGAGAGCCAGGGCAGGGAACCAGGAGACCATGATCCCGAGGCGGACGAGGCCGTGGAAGAAGTACGCCAGAGCCTGAGACCGGTCACTGAAAACAACAAGGTGGCTGAAAGCCTAAAGTCAGTGGACGACTTTAGGAAGCACGAGGATTTCGGGAAGTTTTCACTACATCCACACCTTCGCCGAGAAATCTTTAAGGTCCACAGGAACCTCAACCACCCAGCGAAGGATGTATTCCTCCGGGCCCTTCGTCACTCTGGAGTCAAAGATGACATACTGCAGTGGGTGAAAGAGTATTTCTCATGTCCTCTTTGCGAAGCAGCTCGAAAACCTCTACCAGCCAGACCAGCTCACTTGGCCAAGACCCTCACCTTCAATGCCGTGGTGGCCGTCGACCTCTTCTACCTCAACCTTTTCGGTGCGGAGAAGATCTTCCTGGTCTGCGTCGACCATGGGACTGGATATGTCCAAGTGGCGAGCTGCAAGGACTCGCGAGCAACTACTGTGCGCCAGGAGTTCTGTCGCGCGTGGTTACAGCCCTTCGGTGTTCCCGAACTGGTTCTATGTGATCAAGGCCCGGAATTCACAGGCTCGCAATTTCAAGAACATCTTTCCCAGCTAGGTTCTGCCATCCACTATACGGACGGTGCAAGCCCGTGGCAGAACGGGAAGGCGGAAAGAACGGTTCAGACCCTCAAGAACAAAATCCTTCTGACCATAAAGGACATCACGGCCCACGAGGAGGAGATGGACGTGGTAATTGCCCACGTGATCTCCGCCTACAACTCCATGTACGACAGACACGGCTTCACGCCGGACCAAAGAGTTTTTGGAAGGTCGGTAAGGCTCCCGGCTTCTATGCTAGCCGACGACCGGCTCAACCAGGAGCTGCTGATGGAATCCGCGGGAGATGCTGTCCAGCGGACTTGGGACATTCGTGCAGCCGCCAGGCAGGCTTGGCTGAAAAAGGACGACGCCGCTGCGGTCCAAAAGGCGCGGCGGGCTCAGACCCGAGCCACCGACATCCACTCCTACAGTCTGCAACCAGGACAATGGGTGTACGTCTGGAGGAGGTCGGAGAATCGCCACGGTTGGACGGGCCCAGGTTCGTTGATTGCTCAGGTCCCCGGTGGAACCTCGTGGTGGATCAACATCCGTGGGAGATTGTGGAAAGCTTCGGCTGAGCAGATTCGCCCCGCTTCCGATGAGGAGGACCTGGGCGCTTCACTTCTCCTCGAGCTTCACCGCGACCTGGCCAAGCAACTCAAGGACGGTCGCCAGGTCTCCTTCCAGGACATCACTGACGAGGGAGGCCCCCAGGACTTTGACACCGGCGACTTGTCAGAGCTGTTGGACCCAGAGCCGTCAGCAGCACCGTCAGACGAGATCAGCGACGATCTTGAGGTCCCCGAGCCACCTACGCCTTCGCTCGGTGAGACCACCACCGTGCATGATGAGCTGAGTGCGGTTCCACAATCCTCCGCACCAATGGCCAGTCGGAGACAAAGCTTGTCATCTATGCCTCCCGAGGAAATGATGCTGGACCCCCAGGACCCGACCGAGAAAGTGTCCCAAAGCGAGACAACGATGCCTGAAAGCTCGGAGCGTCGCACGATTCGTGTGGATGAGGGATCCTCTGGAACGATGAGTTTTGGTCCCATGCCAGCCGCTCCGACCTCCGAGACACGTCCCCAACCTTACCTGTCGCAGTCTTTGCAGGTGGACCCTTCCAGCTACCTCAACGTCATGGACTTTGATGCAGCAGCGGATGCGACCTCTACCACCTACTGGAGTGCAGGTGGCCCGAAATGGTCTAGGCAGACTACGAGTGGCCGGACCATTCTGAACGCCACCAAGCCCCTGACCTACTTCCAGGTCGACATGGCCGAGGCGAGCTTCTGCACCAAGGACCGATGCATGTATGTGGGGAAGGCCAAGTCATCGTTTGGACAGGTGGAGTTCACTAAGCTGCAGGGCCCGGAGAAAGACTTGTTTCGCAAGGCGAGAGCCAAAGAGTTTCAGTCCCTTCTGGATAACAAGGCGGTGAAGGTTCTCAGCCTGAAAGAGTCGGAGGAGTTCAGGCGCCTCCATCCCGAGGCCATCCTGCAGTCTCGTTTCGTTGATCGGTATAAGCCGGCGGGGATCAAGCCCGAGGAGCTGGACCAAGCTCGCAGAGCTGCCAAAGAAAAGGGTGTACTGGCCCCTCTCGAATTATCCGAGGACCATACCAGCCCGAAAAGTCGCTGGTGCGTCATCGGCTGGCGTGATCCCCAGATTCACCAGATCGAGCGGTCAGCTCCGACTCCGTCCTCTTCAAGCATCAACGTCGTCCTCCAAATGATCGCCTCCCGTCGTTGGGCTGGTTATCTTCGTGATGTGAAAACTGCTTTCTTGCAAAGCAGGCCCACCGATCGGCGAGTCCCGTTGGCATGCTCCCAACCATCGGATGAAGGGTTGCCGGGTCTTCGGCCGGGGCAGTTACTACTACTGCTTACGGAAGTTTACGGCCTGGTGAGTGGCCCCGCCTGGTGGCGGACGAGCTTTCTCCAGAAGGTCTACCGACATGGCTACCGTTTAACAGCGTACGAATCATGCATTCTCACGCTGCCTGGGGAGAAACCAGGCGACCCCACCGAGGGAGTCATCGTCATTGAGGTCGACGACTTGATTGAGGCCGGGTCTTCCAAACACCGAGCCAAGCTCACGGCACTGGAGGGGGAGATCAAGTTCGGCAAGATTGTCCACTTGTTGGAGGCCAGCGAGCAGGAGAGCACCTACGCCGGGCGGACTCTGCGTCAGCTCAAGGATTTCTCCTTCGAGATGCACATGGAGGAGTACATCTATACAAGGCTGGCTCCCATCACGTTGGCCAAGAGGACCCTCAAGAAGGACGCCGCTCAGGTTCTACTGGACCCCACGGAGACCACTCAACTTCGCGGCGGGGTGATAGCTGCCTTGTCATGGGTATCCAGGGAATGCCGGCCGGACGCGGCTGCAGCGGCCTCCATCTTGGCTTCTTGTTTCCCGGATCCTACCGTGGAGCATGCCATGCAGGCCAATGAGGTCATCCGCCAGCTGAAGCAGTATCCTCTCCGTCTACGAGTCCACCACATCGCGGAGAGCAAGGTGAGGAACATCGTCATCTCCGACTCCGCCTTCGACACCAGTGGAAAGGAGAAGAGCCAGCATGGTTATCTGGTTGGATTCACCACGGACCAGATGAACCTCGGACTCTTGGCTCCTGTGAGCCTCACCCGATGGTGCTCCCGACGATTGAGGCGAAAAGCTTCTTCATCGATGCTCTGTGAAGCTATCGCTCTCTCTTCCGCGACGGCTTCCCTCGAGAAACAGGACGCGCTCTGGGATGCATTACGGATCAGTTTCTACGATCCGCGACAGCGACAGCGTACAGAAGCAGAAACACTGGAGCTGCAAGGAAAATCCTCAGTCATCGCCACCGAAGCTCCCCTGTACAGGGATCCTCGAAGTCTCGCAGTCATTGACGCCAAATCCCTGTTCGATACTTTGCTGAGTGACCAGCCGAGTGACTGCGAGAGGACAAACCTGGAGGTGGCTGTGATCCAGGAATCACTGCAGGTTTGTCGTGCTAGAGCTAGGTGGGTCCCTCATAACAAGAATCCAGCTGACGCCTTAACAAAATTCCTCGGAGCACACGCCGAGCCTCTTATAAAGATGCTCAAGTCAGGCCAGTACCAGATAGCGGATGAAGACGAAGTCTTGAAATCTGGTCGTCAAGGCCTTCAACGACTGAAGCAGGGCATCAGCTCGTTGGGAAACTCTTCCTTTTTGGGGGCTGTGAAGCAGTTTATGCTAAGTTGGAACTGAGCTTGTTTCCCAACGATTGCCTGCCGCTGCTGTTAGGCCTTGAGTCACTGTGTGCGCGTAGAAGAAAAGATCCGTGAACGTGCCATGGATGTCTAGTTTTGACCTTGCTGCAGTCCTGGTGTTTCCGCTTACTTTACATAACGGCACAGGACCCCTACTCTTCAAGGTCTTTTAGTCCGTAAGGTTCAGGGTCTGGGGACGATCGTTTGAGAGGTTTTAGTTATGCTGCTTCAGTGCCCGAAGGGTGTAGGGTTTAGGGACGTTCGTTTTAGGGTTTCCGATTTTGAGTTTCAGTACCTATGGAGTCTAGGGTTCAGGGTTTAGGGTTTAGGGTTTAGGGTTTAGGGTTTAGGGTTCGGGGGGAATCATTCAAGGGGTTTCAGTTGTTTCGGTACCTACAGGGTTTAGGGTTTAGGGATGATCATTTAAGGTTGTTGCGCGGGTTTTTGGTTTATGTCTTGTGTACGGGGGTGTTGCAATTGCTCAGAAATTTGATGTCCGACAAAGGGGGGTGTCGTAAAAGCAGTTCGCTATTGGAGCCGAAAGTCTCCAGGGTACTTCCTTTTTGGGTTGCGTTGTAAGATCCTAAGTATAGAAATCGTCAAGCCGAAAAACAGAAGTGCAACGGAAACTCAATGGAGACTACATATGTATATCAGGGTTCCGCGTTTGGGCAAAACTCTGACATGATTGGCAGGCTTTGAACGTTGAGGATACGAGCCATCTCCTGTTAGAAAGCATCTTTGTAGTGGTGTTAAGTTTGCTTTTATGCCTGACCCCCCTGCTATGACGTTCGTGATTATGCCCTTTTTTATGCGGTTACCAAACCAACTCAAAGCCCTGTAAATTCCCCGAAGCCGCCGAGGGGATCCGCAGTGTTGATACTCTGATACTCTTAGCCATTCTAGTGTAGTGTCCAGACAGATGAGCAATATTTTTCCCTTATAGTTCCTCGACCCTAGACCCTAAACCCTAAACCCCCCTAAACCCTAAACCCTAAACCCTAAACCCTAAAACCCTAAAACCCTAAACCCTAAACCCTAAAACCCCAGGTGTTGGGCCCCAAGCCCCTGAAAATAGACTAGGCTAGTGTAATAATATAATATATGGGATACAAGGCTTGAGGCATTGAGCTTCAGGGGTTCAGGTATGTAGGAATTCTGTGAATTCAGTCAGCAGAGAAAGCAGGGGTCTGGTTGACACCAAAGCCCTAAGTCCAAGCCGTCGGTAAGGGCCTCACAGGATGACGTAGGGGCGTGAATAATGACCAAGATTGTTTCTTGGGGGTTGCTTCTGCAATGGCAGTAGATTACACCCCGAAAATCCTTTCTATTTACTTTTAAGCGCTTGACGTCGTCCGCCTCGGCCCGGCTGTACTTGAAGCGGGCGCATTGTTTCAAAGCAACGGGTAGGTCACACAGGTGAGGTCTTGAGTGAATGAGCGCATTTGCTTCAGAACGTGATTTAACGTCAATGTTTGTTTTCATGCTGAGGCTCTGAGCAACAATCCCACGCGAAAGGTGGCACATTCCCTGCAGCATCCCATAAACGTTACTATATAATAATCGTGTCACCCCTCCCATATGTTGGAAGGGGAATCAAGCTTTAACTTTGCAGCAAGGTACAAGACGCAGGCCCAGAATTCTCCGGCTTTGGCATCAGCTTCACGAATGATGTAAGC